AGGGGGGATGGGGGGGTACCAGGGGGTGCAGTGAGCTGTCAGAGAAAATTTCTGTAGGAGATAGAGCAGAAAGACATGGGGCTGGGTACAGAGAGAGCTCTAAACCATCCAGGAGCTGCTTCCTCCCAGCCTGGACCACTGCAGTCCCCTCCTCCCTGCCCTCCTCCTCCTCCTTCCTCGGAGCCCCTCCAATCCCGGCTGCCTGCTTGCCGCAGCCAGAGCAATCCTTCCAAACCATAAATCAAATCACATCATTCCCACTCCCCTACCTTCCCATCAGAAGCAGGAGGAGAGCCAAACCCGGACACAGCCCTCAGCCCAGCCTGCTGCCTAGGGGCTGGGGAAAAGAGGAACCCTTTGTAGCTGTGTGACCTCATCACCCCTACTCCCCATGTCCCCCCACTTCCATGGTACCGCTCAGGCTGCAGCCTCCCTGCTCCTCCCTACCCCAGAGCTTTTGCATTCTCTTTCCTTCTAGAAGCCTCTCTCCCCAGCTGCTCATCTCTAAGAGGCCTTCCCTAATCACCTTTAGCTAAAAAAGCTTCTGGTATACAAGCTGTTTTTATTTGAAGTGCCCCCCTTTTATCTTCCAGGTATCATTGGGACTGACAAGATCTGCTTGTGGCTTTATGTCTATCTCTTGCCAACGAAAGCAGAGATTTGCGCAGTGCCCTACCCATGAAGCAGGAGATCAGACCCTTCCCTGCACATAGTAGGTGCTCGCTCAAGCTGTGAGTCTGGCCATAGCCTTTCCAAGTGTGGTAATGGCTTGGTCAGAGGCCTGGAGGTCTGTTCGCACCTGCATTCCCCATTTGGAGGCTGCAGTGAGGATGGAGATGATGGGCAAGCCCCTTGGGGCTGGGGAAGCAGGAGGCCATACTTGGCACACTCCATGCCAGGCCCGTGAGTCACACAGGGCTTTCCCAACTTTGGCCTGGCCACTTGTGCCAGCCAGCACCAAGCATATTAGCCAGGCTGCAAAGGGCCAGCTCTTGAAAGAAGGAAATTGAGCCTCAGACTGGGGGGCACAGCCCTTTTTGGAGGTCACCAGTGTGCAGGTAGCCAGCCCAGGCTCTGGCTCCCAGCATGGGAAAGGGGTCTGTCCTGGGATATCTGCCCTGGGGTGTCTGGGAGCCCCAAATGGACCTTGGAAATCAATGCATTCGACCTTGTCTTCCAAGAAAGCACAGTGCCCGGTGGAGGCCTGTGTGACCTTGGGCGGGGTGTGCTCTGCCTCAGAGCTTGGACCTCTCAGGTGCCTGCCTGGGCCCACTGGGCTTTCACTCCCGGCTGCGGTCCTCCCTAGGTCATGTGCAAGGCTGCAACATCCTTGCAAACTGTAGAGGGGTGCGCAACCTCACAGCTGGTGCCAACACACAGCTGTTTTCCAGAGCCCAGCTGCTCCCCACCTGGGTGGATGGGGGTGCATCTACAAGGGCCTCTCCCAAACCCAGGCACCTGCTCCTTTGCTCAGGCATTGTAGGGTGCTGCAGAGAGCCTGCAGCTGGGGGGTTGGGAACCCCACAGGTTGCCCAGAAACCCAGAACTGCCTTCTCAAGGTGCCTGTGCAACCTTTAGTGTTTTTGTCCTCTCTGTCTCTTGAGCCACAGCTGCACTTCTGGCTTTTTGGTAGTTCATGGGATACAAGAGTCTTGTGGATTTTACTGCTTGGGCTGGTTTAGAACCATGATCCTCAAATCTCAGCTTCCTGAGTAGCTGGGATTACAGGCGGTAGCCACTGGCACCCAGCTGTGTGAGCTCTGTGGAGATGGTTGGGCACAGATGCCTGTGCATGCCAGGGGCATACAATGAAGAGAGAGGGGAGCCTGCTGTCTCTAAGCCTCTGCGATTTCTACAACTGGGTGACTTGGGGCAAGTTCTCTGTGCCTCAGTTTCTCCCTCGGGAACACAGAGATGGCCAACATTCTACCACATAGAAGCCATACTCGCTCCTACCCAGGAGGGGAGCTAGGATGAGAGCTGGGCTGCTGGGCAGGTGTGGGGTGCCGGGTGAGGTGTGCGTGGTGGCAGCCCCATCTCCCTGACACGCGCCTAGCCTTCTGCTCTGTGAGGGCCGGGCACACAGGCATGCACAGCCCAGGTGGGTGGTGGCCAAGCCTGGCGCCACGTTGCTGCGTGTGCTGGCTGGTGCAGGAGGGCTGAGCGCACGTGTAGCTGGGCGCGTTTGTGGCGGTGTACCCTGGGGGGCACTGGCAGGCAGGGCAGCCATGCCCCGGAGACAAGGCACATCTGCGGGCTCTGCTCCTGTCTGGGGGGACCCTGAGCCTGGCTCAGGTGGGTCCATGTGCGCCGGGCCCTGGGCTGAGGTGGCCTTCGAGGGGAGGGGAGGAGAAGAGAGGGGGGGAGGAGAGGGCCCCCCTCCCCGGCCCCCACAATGGGGGAGCCCCCGGGAAGGGGCGGTCCTGAGGTGAGTGAGGACCCCCGGTGCTGGGGTGGGGGCGGGGCGGGGGCGGGGCGGGGCGGAGCGGGTGGGGCCGAG